CAAGTTCAAACAGTCCAACGCGCTCTCACCGCCAGAGTCTGCGATAGCTTCCTTTTTTTGACTCCCAATCTCGTGCTTTTTTTTACTGCCTTCAGAGTCTGGTAAGCCTTGATCTGGACTCACTTCCCCCTTATCCCCCCCCCCCCCCCCCCCATCCAATCATTTCTCGTTCTGACATCGTGCTGACCCCCCAACCCCTCTAAAGGATCTCTACCCCACCGATCGCACTTGCTTCTTATTCCCCCTCCATTATTTGATACTGCCCTGCAGCCGCCCTGGCACCCCCATATCCTATCAAGGCGGTTCCCATCAATCTTCACTCTTGACTCTCGTGTCTCAAACCCCATTCCGTCATCAGAGGCGACATCGCCAGCCTGCGCCGGGATGTCGATTTCGGTACAAGAGCTGGACAACACGGTCCGAGCTTTGTTTGAAGGCAAAGGTGCCGTGGTAAGTTTGAAACCATCTACTCTACACTCGGATTACACAATTCGTGGATTCTCTCTACCCCCTCTCCGTGAAGCTCTGGGAACAATAACACTGACACCCATGACCGCGTCTAGCAAAATCAAGCACAGCAGACTTTGACCGAAGTAAGCGCGCAGCCCCCTCTTGTAACCTCATATGAATTGAAAGCTAATCATCCATGTGCTCTCCAGTTCAAACAAAATCCCGATGCCTGGGTCACCGTGGGCAATATCCTCCAAGAGGCCTCATACCTTCAAACCAAATGTGTGTTTTGAGTCTTCGGCAGTTCCCCCCCCCCCAAATACTTTCAGATGCCTGGAAAAAAGACTTGCTGATCTTAATAGACATTGCTCTCCAAGTCTTGGACAATGTGATTATGACACGGTGGAAGGTCCTACCAAGAGACCAATGCCAGGGTAAGAACCACAATAACCTCGTGGTTTTGTCTCCCGCCCTATACTAAGATTATTCTTCATAGGTATCCGCAATTTTATTGTCAGATTTATTCTCGAGAATTCCGAGTCCGAAGAGAAGATCCAAGCGGAGCGCCCTCTATTGAACAAGCTCAATCTCGTTCTCGTCTCCATCCTAAAGCAAGAATGGCCGCACAACTGGCCCACCTTCATCAACGAGATCATTTCTTCTTGCCATGCCAGCCTTTCAATCTGTGAAAATAACATGACCATTCTCCGTCTATTGTCTGAGGAAGTCTTCGATTTTTCGCAAGATCAAATGACCTCGGCCAAAGCACGGAACTTGAAAACTTCCATGACCTCGGAATTTGCGTCGATCTTCCAATTGTGCTCCGAGGTTCTCAACACTGCAAACCAGCCCAGTTTGGTGAAAGCGACCCTGGAAACTCTCCTTCGATTTTTGAACTGGATCCCGTTGGGCTACATTTTCGAAACCCCGATTATCAACACTCTCCTCACCCGATTTCTCGGAGAGCCCGAGTTCCGAAACGTGACTTTGAAGTGTCTGACTGAGATTGGCGGCTTGCAAATTGGCACTCCCTACAACTATGACGAACGATTGGTGCACATGTTCACCGAGACCCTTACCACCGTTTCCAATGTCATTCCTCTGTCTCTGGACCTGAAGCAGACATATGCTATGAGTAATGGAAGAGACCAAGAGTTTGTATCAAACTTGGCTTTGTTCCTCTCGAGCTTTTTCAGTGCCCACCTGGATGTATGCTCCTCCTTTTCTCCAGCCTTTGTTTTGTTTTTGGTTTTTTTTTACTGACTTCTACTTTCTTTTCTAGCTCATCGAAAAGTTGCCTAACCAAGATTACCTCACGCACGCACATTTCTATTTGATTCGCGTCAGTCAGATCGATGATCGGGAGGTGTTCAAGATTTGCTTGGACTACTGGACAAGGCTCGTGCAGGAACTTTACGAAGAGATGCAGCAGCTCCCAATTACCGACATCAACCCGCTGGTATCCATGAGCGTTAGTGGGTTAGCGAACGGTGGCGCTCCCAATCCCACTACCCTAGCAAACTACCCCTTGCGCAAGCACAAGTACGAGACTGTGTTAACAAACCTTCGCACCGTCATGATCGAGAAGATGGTCCGCCCAGAAGAGGTCTTGGTTGTTGAAAACGACGAGGGTGAAATTGTGCGCGAGTTCGTCAAGGAAAGCGATACTATCCAACTTTACAAGACGATACGCGAGTGCTTGGTCTATCTGACCCATCTGGATGTGGTCGATACGGAGACCATCATGATTGATAAACTGGCTAAGCAGGTTGATGGGACCGAATGGTCGTGGGTGAACTGCAACACGCTGTGCTGGGCTATCGGTTCCATCTCGGGAGCTATGAACGAGGAAACCGAGAAACGCTTCCTGGTAACCGTAATCAAGGATCTTCTTGGCCTCACAGAGCAGAAGCGTGGAAAGGACAACAAAGCCGTGGTGGCGAGTAACATCATGTACATCGTGGGGCAATATCCCCGGTTCTTGAAGGCTCACTGGAAGTTCCTGAAGACGGTCGTCAACAAGCTTTTCGAGTTTATGCACGAAACACACGAAGGTGTCCAAGACATGGCTTGCGATACCTTCATCAAGATCGCCAACAAGTGCAGACGGCACTTCGTGGCACTCCAACCTGGTGAAAGCGAACCTTTTATTGAAGAAATTGTCCGAAACATGAGGAAGATCACCATGGACCTTTCCCCACAACAGATTCATACTTTCTACGAAGCCTGTGGTTACATGATCTCCGCTCAAGGCCAAAAGGGTCTCCAAGACCGCTTGACCGAGAACCTGATGGCGCTCCCCAACACTGCCTGGGATCAGATTATCGCCGAGGCAAATCAAAACCCGGCCATTCTCCAAGATGCTAACACCATCAAGATTGTCGGAAACATCATGAAGACTAATGTTGCAGCTTGCTCCTCGATTGGTACCTACTTTTATTCTCAGATTGGCCGGATCTATCACGACATGTTGAATATGTACCGTGCTGCCAGCCAGCTGATTAATGATGCTGTTGCAAGTGACGGTAAGTAATCCGATTCACCGTTAATGAACGCCCCAATTCCGCCCCCCTTTTTTTTCCCTTTCTTTTTGACTGACACCCAAACAGGAGCCATCGCCCCAAAAACCCCCAAGGTTCGAGGACTTCGAACGATCAAGAAAGAAATCTTGAAGCTCATCGACACCTACGTGGACAAGTCAGATGACCTCGAGATGGTCAATGCGAGCATGGTACCGCCGCTCATGGAGGCCGTGCTGATTGACTATGCCCGGAACGTCCCCGATGCACGAGAGGCTGAAGTCTTGAATGCCATGACTACGATCATCCACAAGCTTCACGTATGTTCCTTCTTCCTATTTGTCTGGCTTGATGGCTAGGAATTCCCTTGATTTGATGACCTGGCACATCGCATACTTGTACCTTGCTAACGAGTTAATTAGAATCTGATGGAGGATAAGATCCCAGCCATCATGGACAGTGTTTTCAACTGCACTCTTGAAATGATCAACAAGGACTTCCACGAATACCCTGAGCACCGTGTCGAGTTCTTCAAACTGCTTCAAGCTGTCAACCTGTACTGTTTCCAAGCACTTCTGAAGCTCGATGCTGCGCAGTTCAAGTTTGTTATCGATTCATGCATGTGGGCATCGAAACATGACAACCGTGAGGTGGAGAACACTGGTCTTACAATGTGCCTGGAGCTGATGAACAACATGGCCGAAACTGACCAGCAAACCTCGAGCATTTTCTTCCGCGAGTTCTACATTGCAATTCTTCAGGACGTCTTTTTTGTCCTCACGGATAGTGACCATAAGGCTGGTAAGTAATGTCCTTTGTCCTTGTTACGAAGCAGGAAACTTATGTGATCTTTAGGATTCAAATCCCAGGCCATGCTTTTGTCGCGCATGTTTTACTTTGTGGAATCTGGCAAAATCCAGGAGCCCATCTATTCCCCCGATCAAGCCCCGGTTGGAACTTCAAACAAGGACTTCTTGCAGGAGCACATCGCAAATCTCCTCAAGAATGCATTCAGTAATCTTCAAGAGTAAGTTCCCTCGGTGTCAATTTGAAACCATGCAAGACCGTACTAACTTTTCTCACCAGAGCACAAATCAAGCAGTTTGTTCTTGGATTGTTTGCATACACCGATGATCTAAACAAATTCAAGACTCACCTTCGTGATTTCTTGATTTCCCTGAAAGAGTTCTCCGATGATAACGCGGAGCTGTATGCGGAAGAACGGGAACAAGCGGTGCGCGATGCCCAGGTCGCCGAGCGCGACCGAGCCATGAAGGTCGGAGGCCTATTGAAGCCATCGGAGATGGACCAGGAGGATGAGCTATGACTGGACCAAGAACTACGCACCGAGTTTGTTGCTGCCTCTACTGGTTCTCCTGGGCATGAGCCAGAATCAAGGTTGACCTCCCAAAATGACGGCCTTGATGGCTGGTCATTCTACGAGCTCTAGATCACAGGAAGCCATATGTTGCTGCAACATAGGAATCTTTGCTCTGGAAAGATGTGTGTGAATTTATCCTTTTATCTTTTCTTTTTTTATCCCCCCTTCTTTGGTTGGCTATCGGGCATGCGAGATAGACCCATTCCCTGGCTGCGCGGGTTCAAGGTTGGTGCATCACGGCTCTCTACATCGAACGGATTTACCAATTTTATCCTATGTGTAATTTGCCTATCCAAGGCACGAGCTTGTTTGATAGCTTTTAACGTCAAATGATCAAAAAATATCTCCAATTCAAAGATGTGAAGTGGACAATCCGTAAGTTTAGAGTAATCCGTACTCCATTTTCACCTGTATTTTAACTACACCATGATTAACGACATGTAAAGAAGACATAGAAAAAGACCAAGAAAGACTGCTATAAAAAAAAAGACGTCTCGAGGCATAAGCCGACAACATCCAGATCAGAGGGCGGTGAATCCTTATCAGTTGCATCATCAGAAAAAAAAGTACTTTGTAGTCAGTCGCCTTCAGACTGATTTTATGATTCTTTCTTTGATTCTTGAATTCATCTCACTCCATCCCCCATCACAATGTCTCGAACACGCCAGCCAATGGGCCCAAACTCATTTCAAACCACCGCAGTGTCCTCCCAAGACTCAACAGCCCACATTCCAACCCTCAGATTACGTGCAGAAGCACCAACTGACACCAGCGAAGCAACATCGTCTTCTCGGCGAATCAGATGGAGTGAAGATGTTGTAGATAATGAGGGCATGGGCAAAAAGAGCTCAAAAGGTATGGATCTATTTTATCTATTCGATTTACCCCCGATTCATCCCCGCAAACAGCAACGTCTAACCGCCACCAGTATGCTGCATCTATCACAAAGCCCGGCCAGTGGGAGAAAGTAGCTCAGAAGAGTCCTCATCCAGCTCATCTGAGAGCGACAGCGAGAGCGAAGACGACCGTCGCACTGCCAGAGTCAACCAGGCTCGCCACACACACTCACACAACGGACGGGACCCCCACGGCGAGCGCGAGCACGCGTCCCACCCTGATCAAGGGTGTTGCCCCGGAGATCAAAAATCTAAACTGAAACGCAATCGCCGGAAGCCGAGTCCGAATGCATATGAGAAAATGCCCAAGTCATCGAGGAATCAGAATCAAAGTCAACATCATGCGCGGGGTACTTGATCCTGCTTTTGGGAGGGGAGGGATTTTGAGTGGCAAGACGATGAGAGGGAACATGGAACTGAGCAAAGCTTGGATTTAGGGCCCGATGCACGGCAATGCGAGTCATCCCGACTGTGACGGATCTATGTCTACGCGCGGTGTATGACATTTGCACGACGTTGGGGCACACTCCATCCGGTGGGTGGCATGCAGGAAATTTTTACAATGGCATGATCAAGGTGTCAGGGGAAAGCACGCCAGCCCATGTTACGGCGTGCTACACGCGATGCGACGGTTGAACGGTTATTGAGAGCTACTTGGCCTACTCGAAACATGTAGATGGGCAAGATAATGAAATTTGGATTGAAAAGATAGGGATCGCAGTGAGGGGGTATCTGAAACATAACTGCAGCCCGGCCCGGTCTATAATGATTGTACATAGGTGAAGCAAAAGCGGATTTCATACCATCATACTTTTTCTCCTTGCAGCAACTCGCTGGCCACGCCTGACTTCACTGGTGTCCATTGTAGAACCATTTGGTCCCGGTCCAAATGAATCTTCGTCTTCCGGGGAGCCGATTGGGGATTGAGGTTCAATATGTTCGATGTCGTATTGTGCCATGTTTGCAGCTGTATTGTGGGGGTTTGACGAATGACGTCGCGTCTGACGCTTCGAATTCAATGGTTTTTGTGATACCTGGGCGGAGATATCTGCGAGACTGTCCTCAATCTCTTTCTTGAGGCCAGAGCTTGCGTTTCCCGCATTACTGTCGTCCTTTGGGGCCGACGAAACCTTGCGTTTTCTCCGGGAGACCATTGCTAGCAACTGTTCTGAGCTATCCACGGATGGCAGATCTGAACTCTGCGCCGCAAGAGTGAAATCAGCAGGAAGATGAGAATGGGTGCCATGGGGTTGGGCGCCCTCCCCTGCGCCGTCCAAACTATCCCGACCTGCCTGGAAACTGGAGGATCTTCGCGATCCAAGTGCAACAGCGTCGATCATTTCCTTGGTAGGGCGGCGCATCTTGTCCCGCAGGTTAGGCTCTGCATAGCTAACCACAGCACCACGACGTCGGGAAGGCCGAATTGCAGACTCTTCTGGGTTCATTGCATTCGGATGCGGTGACAGAGCTGGTTGGTGTGAGGCTGGCTCTTCCAGCTGGGGAGGGGCAGGGCGATTGGCGCGCTTTTCTTTGTTTGAAGGGGTGACTCTGGACACTCGCGGCTTTTGATTGGCAGTCGTGTCACTGAGTTTCTCGACATCCTTGCCTTTCTGTGGCGAGTTGATATTCTCGTCGCCCTTAGTGGACCTCTGCATAAGCTTAGAGTCCTGGTACGAAGACATGCGGGCCTTTTTGGGAGAGCCTAGATTGGAGTTTGCACTCTCTGTTCCGGTTGTTAGCTACACTCATTGTAGAGGGCAGAACTAAAAGACAGCACCACATACTTGGTTCTAGGACCTTCCGCATAGACAGGATAGGGGTTTTTGATCCTCTTGTCACTTCAACATGACTTTTAGCGGGTGACTGCTCTCGCTGTGTATCTTCAAATAGGTTTGTTTTCTTTTTTAGGTTATGGCTGGGCCGGGTGAATTGGAATTCATCATCTTCGACATTAAGATTGGACGTGAATCGGTCATCGTCTTCGGGTATGTATTTGCGCTTCGTTGTAGTCGATGTTGTATGCTGTGTTGTATCGATGGGTGGACTTGGTTGCCGATCTGTTGGCGCGGGGCTAATTTCAGGCGCAATGATCGAACTCGACTTTTTCTTCTTCTTGCGGGTCTCGAGAGTTGGAGGAAGAAATGGCTCGGGTTCTTCGGGTATATCATCGTGGATTTGGCCCCTAAATGTTGATTCTGGCGATGGACTCGAATGCTCAATGGGTGCATCTCCTTCCTCCGGCATAAAGCTGAACTGTGGCGGAGAATCCAGAATGCTGTGGTCGTCGTGGACCAAGCTGTCGAGCTCTTGGGGGCTAAAGAAGGTGTTAGCAACTCGAAACGGCTCAAAAAAAACCCCAAAATTCTTACTCCAATGTCCGCCGAGGGTAATGTTTGTCCTCAATAATGGCAGGAAGCCTTCCATCTTCGCCTTCCATTATGTCTTCTGTCCTAGGTCTCGACTCTGCCGCCTGCTTTGGCCTATCGGTCTGTTCGTTGCAAAGCTTGCCCACCTTGCGAGGTAATGAGCCCAAATCTGTTGCCAGATTGCTCAACTCGGCTAGTTTGGCATCTAGCTTGGATTTGATATCGTATATTCCATTATGCAGCATTTTCCCTGCTTCCAGTCTTTCGGTTTCCTGTGTAAGGTTGATGACCTGTTTTCGAAGTAACACATTTTCCGAAAGTAGATGTGATACTTCTGACTCTAGGCTGCGAATACGAAGAGATTGCAAGGAATTCACCCTCGCGATCTCACGGTTTTGTCGCACAAATCGTCGCTTCACTAAATAGAAACAAAGAGACCCCACGTCAACTAATAACTCAAATATTTTAATACGGTGGTAGATTGCGCGAACTTACAGGCATCAATGGACTCGGCAGGAGCCGCATAGTCGTTCAACCGAGCCATGATGTAGGCTGGGGGCAGCGACCACTGCGTAATCAGATGGATTTGAAAGGCAATCCTGGTGTGCAGGTGGAATAGAATTGAAGTTTATATCGAGTCGAGTCCACAGATCACACACCCGGAAATGACTGGGTGTGTTGGGGAGGGTGTTGGGTCTTGAGTATGGGAATACAAAAAGAGAGACAGAAGGTAAACAGCATCGAATGCCAAGCCCTTGTTGATGTTTGTCCGGTTTTGGTTTAGCCTGCCCAGTGTTTGGATGACTCAGCTCCCCTCCCCACCTGACCCTTCCTGGGCAGCTCTGTTATCCAACAGGTACGAGACTTTGAGAGTGATCGCGTTCTTTGTACCTGCTTCTTCGTTTCGCTACAAACTTTCTCATGGCATACTCCTCCCGACCAACCTCGATGCTTCCAGGCGCTCCTGGCTCGTCTATGCGCCAGCCCAGTGGTTCGCAATCGCAGCAATCTTCGGCGCTGTCGGCCCGCATTGCAGCCAAAAAGGCGGAGCTAGAGAACCTACGACAACTACGTGATCTGAGTGGGACATTGGCGATTCAGATGCAAGCTTTGGATAGTAAGATCTCCACGCTGAAAGATGGCACCGAAGGTTTGGCCTACCTGTCCCTTGATTCGGCCTCGCCGGTCGCTAATTGTATCCTCTGTCAATTAGCTGTTGCATACGTGCTTTCCAACTGGGATAATGTGATTCGGGCCATCACCCTCGCCTCGAGTAAGCGTTACTTTTTCTAACCTTGGAATACCGTGGCTGATTTTTATCCTATGATAGGCAAGGCAGGCGGACTCTATGAACCTGAGTCGGATAGTAAGAATGTGGAGAAACCGCGCAACGACCTGCCATCAACGCTGGTTCGCATTCCAGCTGAGCCACGTGATAGGACTGGGGAGTGAATCAGTGACATGTCTCTCTTCGACTCCGGCTGAAACACCCTGAATGGTCTCGTCTTTTGGGGCCTGAATCATTGGGATTTTTCTAGGCACCCCACGCATCCCATGCATCCTACTCGATATTTCTCTCTTGGTTATCTCGCCCATGTGTGTACCGGGCTACCAGAATTGACGGATGTATTTTGAGAATGCACTCGGACCTACCTCCCCACCCCCAAGGTTGGCCCCAGTATAACCAATGAGCGGCCCCCGACGGAAAGATTCTCAAAAGAACAGTCGAATTCTTCGGGGTCCAATCATGGGACTTCTAGTCATCTTTCGCAGAAAGGGTGCGATTCTGAGAATGAACGAGAATCGATTTCTTGCGTGGCCAGCTGATTCCTATGCAGAGTTTTGGCGCATGCAATAAAGATGGTTATCTCGAAATGGCAGACAAATCAAAAGACAAAAGACGGGGATTAAGGAGATCATTTCTTTCCCGGGTCCCCCCCCCTCCGTTCTAGTTTCTTTTGAAACTTCTGCACTACTGCAAAGACAATCATTGGTACAGGAATAGCTGCATTGCAGGAATATGACTGGATGTCTGAATGATGATGTGATTGGCGCATGATAGAAGTGTGTAGCTCAGTATGTACACTAGATACACTAGCACTATATTACATGGGTCATCGTTACAAGTTAATAGAATCTAGGTTTATTTTTCAGGCATCATGAGACCAGGGGAAGAGCTGAAAGGCGCTATGATGCCCTGAGGAAAACTCTTTTATTACCAGTTCGAGGTTCCTGCAGGGGCGAACAGACTCTTCTATTTAGGTACATACGTAGAGATATGTGTGTATATGTATATATATATATATATATGTATATATATGTATACATACGTACCTGAATACCTAGGTTAAAGGTACTATTAGTTTTGATGTTGCATATAAACTATATAGCGTGATCATAATTTAGGTACCTATCTATTGAGTACCTCAATACCTTCTCAATACCTCGTATCTCTCCTTTTTTTTCTTTCTTTTTTTTTAAGCGCCCCAAGCACAACAAATGCCAACGCCCCTCTTTTTTTCTACGTGGACTTCGATTCGACATGCGCGATATTTCCCCGCAATAGCCGTGGGATTTTGTACCTACATATTAATTAATTCTTTTATTTCTATTTCCATTTCTCTTAAGAGAACGGAGTACCCTGTTGCCCATTCCATTGCGTGGTATGGCATGATCGCTGTGTGACACTTCAACAATGTCAGTATTATGAGGTGATCGTTAGGCTTTACCTTTTAACACTTCACCTTTTAAGCTTTGATCTTTCTCTCTATATACAATCCTCATATCTCTAAATCTATCAACCTTACCTTACCTTTCGACGTTACCTCCCAACCTCAATCTCCTATTACTATCATTACTATCATCACCATCACTATCACGATCATTACACCTAAACCTAACACTCTTACTCTTTACCATGTCGACTGAATGGTCTTTGGACTTCTGCCTGGTTTGTGATCGTCAGACCCTGGGCGCTCCGTACTGCTCCCAAACGTGCCGTTTAGCGGAGCTGGATGACATATCGGATGGAATGTCACGAAGATCGAGTGCATCGTCTACACATTGGTCTGAAATCAACCAGGCCCAAGCTCGAGCCGAGGCCAATACCCCAGACGCCCATAATTCCTCTCGAATCCTATCTGTCTCCTCATCCCAAACCTCACTCTCTTCGCTGAAGAGCAACACATCCAATGTCAATGTGGCCGATCGGCTCCAGGATGAATTGCGTGATTATGCATCTTGTTTCGACCAAGTTCGCGACCTGAAACGGCGCATGACTACCACATAATTTCAATTCGAACTCGAACTCGAAAACTTGTTCTCGAACCCATCCCCCACATCTGAATGAGGCCGAGGGCACCCAAATGCATGCAGCCCCTCATGCTGCTTTCTGATTCATTTTGCATATACTGGGAAATAAGGCGTCATTGTTGGAAAAGATAAACCATTTTCTTGTTGATTTTTTTTTTCTTTCTGTTTTTTCTTGTGGATCAACCCTGTCTTGGTCTTTCTTACGAATCCATACCCCCTCCCGCCCCCCCAACTGTTATATATGTCATGATCATCGGAGTTGAATCCAGGCCCAAGTGTCTCGTCTAATTAGTTATCTAACCAGACTGCCTATAATCAAAATTGGAAATTTGGATGATATATATGTATATGTATATATATATATTTAAAAAAAGAAGCACCTTGATGTTCTCAGTAGAACATGCCCAAGCCTCGATTTGGGTATGTTAAGTGTGTCATGTCAATTTCCCACGTCAGTCCAAGGTGGGTACCCTGAGGAATGTGTCCGATGTTAACCGTCCAACCGGGAATGCTAGATATGTCAACTAGAACACTCGACCCATCGACAGCTGTATGGAACCAGCAATTCGAGATGCAAGCGCAAGCAGCTCTAGCCCAAATCCACAAGATACCCCTCGAACATCGCTCGACCGGATTTGGCTCTGTGCAGAACCAAGTCCCTTCCCGCACAACTTGATACCAAAGACCAGGTGGACGCCATTCACTGCGCAAGGACCTTCGACAGAGCCTTTTCATTCTTCGGCACAAATCGGACCTTATATTTTTGAGGGATGGCCACCAAACTGGTCGGATCCGAGTTATCCCGGAGAGGGTGGCAGACTGTTTTGTCATGAGGTTCAAGGCGGAAGCTGTTGAGGGTGCGGATGAAGACGAGGTAGAGCTCACGATTGGCTAGCAGCGAGCCGGCGCACATTCGGTAGCCCATACCGTATGTAAAGAGAGGCGCATCGGACTGCTCGAGCCAGCGTTCGGGACGGAACTCATCCGGGTCAGTCCACACCTCGGGGTCTATGAAGGATTAGACGTGCTTTGCGGATTCAATTGCCCAGGCAGATATCAGATTTTATTTTGACTCACCCATGTTGCATGCCCAGGCATTCAAAAAGAACACTGTACCCTTGGGAATGGTGATTCCCTGATAGGTGATATCCTTGATCGAGGTGCGAGGAAGCGCTAATCGCAGCACGGTGAAGAATCTAGGGTATTGTTGGTTAGTTCAAAAGTCCTTCCAGAGCTCGTTGGCAGGAAACCAAAAAACATACCGAAGACATTCTTTGACCAGAGCTGCAATATACGCACACTTCTGATCATCATCAGAAGAGCACATGGGCTCATCCTCGCCATACATCTCCTGGATGGCCTTGGCCGCCCGATCCTGGATATCAGGACGCTGGGCCAGCAAACCCAGACTCCATGCAACCAAAGTGGTGACGGTATCAAGACCACCAGAAAGCATAGTCAGACTAATCGATGTCAACTCCTCACTATTCAGCTTAGCCTCCTTATCCATGATAACGTTGGCCTGGATACAAGGCTTATGTGTCCCCTTTGCCATGCGATCATCCAAGTCACTGTTAAGCGCATCGAGATACTTATCACGACGGATTCTCATCTGGGCAGCTTTCTTCGAGTTGGAGCTAAACGGGTTCAACCGCAGCAGAGGGATATAATCCTGTAGGTTTCCGGTGGTGCTTCGGAACCGACTAATCTCTTCTTCCACCTCGGTGATTTCATCGAACAAGTCCTCTTCCTGTGAGGCAATACGCACGCCCCAGTTCAGAGTCAACGCCAAACTCAAGCTCAGACGTTGGATCATTGGCATGGGGTCGACGGGTGTCTTCCCATGGTTTCCATATCTGTGCAGCTCTTCCACAAAGGCCTTTGACTCGACATCCAGGTGCGACACGTACGTGTCGACAGAGGGGCGGTTGAGAGCCGACGCGGCGCCCTTTCTGCGTCTCTTCAAGGAATCACTGTAGGGTGAGGTACCGATTGTCGTTCCAGCCGTATTGGAAACAATCTAAGTGAGTTAATTATCAGATTTAATTCTATAAAATAAATAAAAAAGAAATAAGAGAAAAAAAAGCCACTAACCTTATGAAAAGTATAAGTCTCAGGCCTGGAGCTCAAGGCCTGCGCATTCTGACTGAAAAGCACCTTTGCCGATGCAGCAGAGTTGACCACGATGACTGGGATGTTCCCCAGCTGGATCTGATAAACGGCGCCGTACTTTTTCGACCACAGGCGATACCTTTCCGCGGCATCTGTGCGAATCTGTGCCAGATTTCCAACCAAGGGCAATCCGCGCGGACCCTTCATACCCTTGACGCGGGCGGAATCACGAATGAACTCATTCAGAATGACATAGAGAATAGGGACGAGGAGGGCTGCGGCGGCTAGCGAGTGGTGGGGATACTCAATCACGCTGCCTTGTAGTGATGCCAGGACAGCGGCGATAGCCATGGTGCTGGATAGTTATGGAATAGACTGTGTCTTGGAAGACTATACAAACATAGTCATAAATATATCATAAAAAAAGGTGTAAACCTATCAGGACTGGGGGATATATAAGTATATTAGAAGTATCGCAGCCCTAAGGTTTTCAGGGTTTCCACTGAATGGAACATTTCCGTGTTGTGAAGGTCGTTCAAGCCGCGATATTCTCCCAATGTCCCTCTTTTTTTTTACCCCACACTACCCCAGGTCTTGCCAGACCTTGTCCAGCTTTCTGCAGACATACGATGGTGCTCAGCCGAGGGCGTTCCGCAACTGCGGAATCCTTCCGCTTAGCAGACCCGAAGGTATGACTTGTAGTTGCATTGGTCACATATATACGGAGTATACCCCGTATATATATCATAGTCAGTATTAGGTTGTTTTCATGTTGTTTGGATGAATTTGAATATCATGTGTGATTTTGTATTGTATTTCTAGAAGTTGCCTTACTTTCCCGAGATATTTTGTTGGTTTTGCGTATATATACGTCTCTCCTCGAATTCTTCTTTCACATTGGGAGTTATGGCCTTGGCAGTTGGGTTGGACTTGACGTAAATGCCAGAGATATGAATACCCTCCCATTTAGTTATTGAGTGGACTGGGGACACTCAAACCAACAACAGGGGTATTAATGCTGGACCCTTTTTTTTTTTTTTTTCAAAGGATACTTCCCTCTGAACTATTGTTCATCAAAAGGCCGTTAGTTTTTGAATAGTACAATAGTACTTGTATAGTTTATAGTACGATATGATCGAGAACACGCTATTGTTGAATAAGGGGCTAGTGAAGATCATATCCACTTGCGCAAGGACTTAAAAGACCTTCTAGAAAGAAGAGCCTCGACCAAATTTACCAAATTTTTCATAACCGGATTCAGATTTCATCTGGACTCCGTAATGTCAAGAGATGATGACATTCTTGAGCAAAACCGGAATTCCAAGGGATTGGCATAGGTGGGGCCAAGGATAAAGTTGTGCACAGGGGGAATTGAACATATTCCAGTGGAAGTAGCCAGTGGACGTAGCCAGTGGAGATCCAATGGACACTAACGGGCCCCCTGGACTCCGTGGGGGCGATATGGCAGTTCGTGACTGGTCAATGGTTATGGAGCTCGCAGTCAGGTGGCCACGAAGAGATTGATCGAGTCCAGACCTTTTGTAGATCTGCACTGCCGGAGATAAAAACGGCATGGAATAAGACGCAGAATCGGCTTCCCGATATTGTTTATACCTGAATACATAAATATATTGGTAATCCTTGGTGGTTTTGGGAAATTGAGAGTTGAGAGTTGAGAGTTGAGAGTTGGAAGTTGGAAGTTGGAAGTTGGAAGTTAGAAGTTGGACGTCGGAATTCAAAGGAAATTTCTTCGCGTCATGTGTAGAGAGAGCCGGATGGGGTTCCCGAGCCAATATGAGAAATAAGAAAAAACAGGCGTATGGGACATCTCCACTGTCCACTGTCCACTGTCCACTGCCAAGGTTGCTCCAATGGTGAGCTGCCGTGCACCCATGACGCAGAGTGTACTCGTGACACCCCTGTATTCATAGTGGAAGGTGTAGCGATCAAAGTATCTGATACTGTGGACGAAAGTCGCAAATCTTGCCTTTCATAGATTTGGTGTTATTTGGTGGAAAAATAAATAATAAAAGGAAAAGGGAAATGGGAAAAGGGAAAAAGGGAAATTCCCATAGCTATCTCTTGGTCTTCCCGCCTCGCCTCCAGTATTCTTCTCTCTTCTCAACTTCTCTGCGGACTTCCTCTCCTCTCTTCTTCTTCTCTCCGAACTTCCTCTCCTCCAATCCTCCAATTATTCTATCCTTATTTTGGGCACATATTCTTATTAAGAATCCCCGGCATATTTGAACACCTTAAAACACATTACATCACCGTATATTCGGAACACCGCAGATAATGGCCGCTCGGCACTCGCGCAAGCTCTTGAGACCTCTCCTTTACACATCCGCGGCGGCCGCCGCAGGAGCAGGTGTTCTCTACATTTCTTATCGTCCGCGAAATATTCCGGGCCTCGAAGCCCCCGCCGTTCCCCCGCCAGGTTACCGTGAAGGCAAACTGGTCCCGCCCAGTTTCCCCTCAATCAAGTCTCGCCTCGAGCAGATTCAGGACCTCAAGCGCAGTAATGACGAGGAGGAATATGATTTGCTCATCATTGGTGGTGGAGCCACTGGAGCTGGTATCGCACTAGATGCCGCCACCCGAGGCCTGAAGGTCGCGGTGGTGGAGAGAGACGATTTCAGTTCGGGTACCAGTAGTAAGAGTACCAAGCTGGTACACGGTGGTGTCCGTTACCTGGAAAAGGCCGTTTGGGAGTTGGACTACAACCAGTGAGTTTTTTTGGGGGCGGGCGGGGAAACCTTTGAAGGTCAAAATGACCGCATATCAGCGCATCCTTGCTAACAATCGCATCGCAGATATGCGCTAGTCAAGGAGGCTCTAAGAGAGCGCAAGTACTTCCTGAACACAGCCCCCCATCTGTCATCATGGCTGCCAATTATGGTGCCCGTTCAGAAATGGTGGCAGGCTCCCTATTTCTGGGCCGGTACCAAGGCCTATGACTTCTTGGCTGGTTCCGAGGGGATTGAGACCTCGTACTTCCTAACCAAGAGTAAGGCCATTGACGCATTCCCCATGTTGAAGCGTGACAACATCATTGGAGCCATGGTGTACTATGGTGAGTTACGAACCCGCACTGTGCAAAGAAATTATTTTGGCTAATTCCCGACAAGATGGTGCACACAACGACTCTCGCATGAACGTCTCCCTCGCCATGACTGCTGCGCTCTACGGTACCACCGTAGTGAACCACTTGGAGGTCACCGGACTGAACAAGGATGCATCCGGCAAGCTGTGCGGTGCGCGCGCCAAGGACATCGTCACAGAGAAGGATGGCCAGGTCGCCAAGGAGTTCAACATTCGCGCCAAGGGTATCATCAATGCCACTGGTCCCTTCTCGGATTCTATCCGCAAGATGGATGAGCCCAATGTCAAGGAGATTGTGGCCCCCAGTGCTGGTGTTCACATCATCCTGCCTGGTTACTTCAGTCCCTCAAACATGGGTCTAATTGACCCTTCCACATCGGATGGACGTGTGATCTTCTTCCTACCGTGGCAAGGTAACACCATCGCTGGTACCACCGACCAGCCCTGTGAGATTGAGGCCCAGCCCCAGCCCACGGAGAAGGACATCAACTGGATTCTTTCGGAGATTCGTGGCTACATCGCCCCCGATATTACTGTGGACCGAAGCGACGTCCTTGCTGCCTGGTCTGGTATTCGTCCCTTGGTGCGCGATCCCAAGGTGAAGAACTCGGAGGCTCTCGTCCGCAACCACTTGGTGACTGTCTCTCAGTCTGGACTGTTGACTTGCGCCGGTGGTAAGTGGACTACTTACCGCCAGATGGCCGAGGAGGCTGTGGATGAGGCGATTAACGTGTTCAAGCTCAAGCCCCGCCAACTCACCAGTCTCCCCGATATCAGTGGTGTCGGCGGCAGTGGTCTGGTTGCTGACGGTGCTGTTCTCGACGGTAGCTGCCAGACCCACCAGGTGCGCCTCATCGGTGCCCACGGTTTCTCCAAGACCCTCTTCATCAACCTTATCCAGCACTTCGGTCTCGAGACCGACGTGGCCAAGCACCTCACTGAGTCGTACGGTGACCGCGCGTGGCAGGTCGCTGCCTTGTCTTCCCCTACTAGCGAACGTTTCCCCGTGCGCGGCTGCCGCATCTCCCCCATGTACCCCTTCATTGATGGTGAGGTCCGCTACGCCGTCCGTCACGAGTATGCCCAGACTGCTGTCGATGTGATTGCCCGTCGCACCCGTCTTGCTTTCCTGAACGCCGAGGCCGCTCTCGAGTCCCTCCCCACCGTGATTGACATGATGGGTGAGGAATTGGAGTGGACCACTGCCCGCAAGGATCTCGAGTGGAAGGATTCCTTGACTTACCTTTCGTCCATGGGTCTGCCTAAGAGCTTCATGGGTCTTTCGCGTCATGAAGTCCAGAACGGCCGTGTCAAGCAAGTCGATGATGTCGAGCGTGCGACTTACTCTCGTAATGGTATGTTTTTTGAAACTTCCAAATAATTCAATGAACCACAGTGCTGACCATCGTAGAATCTCCTGCGGACATGATTGAGAGCGACGTGCGTGCTACTACTGCAGCTCCTGTAGCAACACCCTCGCTTAATTAGATGACGTGTGGTATATATAGATCGGACCTGTATAAATAGAAGCGTTCCTTGTTTTTTTTTTCCTCTTTTTTTGGGTTTTAATATTGATTTACTGTCATTGACACTTAAAAACAGAGACTGGGACAAAAAAGATTCCCCAGACCCTAAAATGACGCTTTCCAAAAAAACAAAAAGACAAAAAGACATCCATCCACATTCGGAAAGTGCCACCCCGAACTTGCTAGTCTCAATCTTTTCAATCTCTCGATCCCTTCAGTCCCTTTAGTTCCTTCATGTCAATTCCTTTGTATTTTGTCAACCACACATCATGAAGCCCAATCAGTCTGATGTTGATCTTCAATCGCTGAGCTTTGTGAGGCACAAGTTGGATTCGGATAAAGAGTCCGCCTTACCAAAGCTAGAGTTGGAGGAACAGGATCCCTTTGGAGATGAAAGCCAAGCTGGCGTAAAATACAAGACCATGGCGTGGTGGTGAGTGTCTAGTTCCAACCGCTAGGGCAAAGCTGATCATTTAACAGGCAGGCCGGCATGAGTAAGTCTATGTCTTGCATATTGCCCGGCTTTCTCTAACAGATCCGGTCAGTTATGATCGCAGAAACCATCTCCCTTGGTATTCTCGCGCTGCCCAAAGCGCTTGCGGTACTAGGTCTTATTCCGTGCAATCTCCTCCCCGTTGACTGCAGAGGCTGAGCTAATCTGTTTATTCAGCGGCATCCTCACCATCTTTGGGGTTGGGACAGTCTCGACGTATACTGCATATACCATTGGGCAATTCAAATGCCGCCATGTTCAAGTACACAGTATGGCTGATGCCGGTGATCTTCTGATGGGAGGGATCGGACGGAGTACACTGGACGTGGCCCAGCTCATCTTTTTTGTATTGGTGATGGGGAGCCATATCCTCACTTTCTCGATCATGATGAACGTCCTTACTGAACATTCCTCTTGCACCATCATCTTTTCGGTTGTCGGTTTACTCGCCTCGTTCATGTTGACCCTCCCACGGCGACTAGAGAGACTCTCTCACATCTCCTCCGTGAGCTTTGTGAGTATTGTCGGAGCGGTTCTCACTGGTATGATTGGGGTTACCCTTGTCAAACAAGGACCAGTGCATGTCCCGGCCTTTTCTCCTTTGCCCAAAGTGCACGATGCATGTCTTGCTATTGCAAATATCATCTTTGCCTACGCAGGACATGTTGCGTTCTTTACCCTTTTCTCTGAGCTCAAGGAGCTCCAGGATTTCCCGAAGGCTCTGGCGCTTTTGCAGATGAGTGAAATGGTCTTGTATACGGTGGCTGCTATTGTGATATACGCCTATATTGGACCGACTGTCAACTCACCTGCTCTCAATTCTGCAGGACAATTATTTCGCAAGATTTCCTATGCAATCGCAATACCCACAGCACGTACCTGTTCCCCCGTGGACTTCTTCGGATATGAGCTAACCATTGGATAGATTGTGATCGGGGGTGTGGTGAACGCCCATGTTGCCGTCAAGTTCATTTACGTCCGGGTCTTCCGGGGCACCAATTCGATGCATAGCCAGTCACTCATGGCGCGGTTGGTGTGGGCTGCGATATGTGCGGTGCTTTGGATCTTGTCGTGGATCATCGCCGAGGGAATACCGGTTTTCAACGATGTACTAGGGCTTGCGGTGTGTACTACCTATCTGACCCTGCCCTTGACCCTAACTCTGACTCCAACCAGAATCGAGTACTAATCATTCATATTAGAGCTCGTTATTTGCTAGTTGGTTTTCATTTGGACTACCTGGGCTATTTTGGCTCTATTTGAACCGGAGTTGTTGGTTCCTGACCAGGCGACAGAGGGTGTTGTTTTGCTTCAATATCTTTCTGGTGTTTCTTGGATTTCTCATTGTTAGTTACGTTCGGCTGTGATTCGCTGGTGCAAATTAACTTACATCACCAGTGCATTGTCGGGCTGTATTCGTCCATTCGGTCGATCTTTCACAGCCTTCGCGAGAGTGTTGGGGGAGGCAGCTTCTCATGTGCTGACAACTCTCTCTACTGAGCCAGACTCAGAGCCACGGAGGAATTGATTAGGGGGGGTGGGGGTGAGCAATTACAATTGGGGCACAGCATTAGCGTGGTTGCAAGTACGAGGATACGAGGAACACAAGACGCAGGGAACTAACCAGCTGCATTGTATATGAATATATGAATAAATTGAGTTCTCCTGCACTATTTCACCAATGTAGGCGACACGCAAGAGACTCTGCAACTGCCACTCTTTGGCCAAGTGAATATGTGTCAAATATCACAAGGTAGCCTTGTCCTCTCGGAGCAAAGTGTAGTTTTAGGGATGCCAGGGAAGACTAATAACACTTTTTTTTGACAAGGATGAGTGGTGCGGAGAAAGAATAGGATTATACTTCACTTGTTCCATTGTCCTTTTAGGAGGATCAAACCATACCATACCCTGATCTCGGGACGTTAGGTGAGATAGTATAATAGTACCTAGTTAGGTAGTAGTTAGGTTCTTGTATTGCCCCAAGGCATCACGTGATATATTCAGAAATCACGTTAATATCCCACTATTATATCTACAAATAATCGATTTAAGCCTTTGAGGCCGGGTTCACTCAAGTCCGGGACTCCATTCTATGGTTTTTTTTTATTATTATTTTTTTAAAAAAAGTGAGGAGTGGACTAAACTAGGGGAAATTGCCCGACATAACGAATGTGGATGCTACAGAAGACATTAACAGTACGTGGCTCATACGCACTAATGAATGACTCGCAGGGTAACGGGGGTTAGTGGCCTCGGGGAATTGGCTGCAGCTAGTAAGGTCACATACCCGTTAGTAACACTATCTCGGACTAAATTAATATACGGATATAGTTGTCTAGGGATGAAATGAAAAAAAAAGCAAAACAAAACAAAACGACATAATTGAATCCAAAGTCTAAGAAGCGGGGAGATATAGCCCGTAGTCAACAGTAATATAACCAGTACTCCGTACTCCATATATAGCTAAAATATACTTATGTAGAATATCCGCCTTCTCATAAATGATTCTTATTAAATTATATTTTTAGCACCAGGTCTCCCATATATTGGGTTCCCCTCTTTTTTTTTTGCGTAGAAGCCCGACGCATGTATTGTGTCCCAATCAAGACAGGGATCAAGACAAACCCACACTTATTCCCTGTACACCAAAGGCGAAAAAGGGCGAGGAAAAAGCGGAACGGACAACAGCAAGGCATACGTGCATGCTATCACCACACCATTTCCTCTACAACTGGGGAGAAGGGTGAGACCAGGTAACCCGGACCTTCTATTTGCTGGATTTGTTGTATATTCCAAGTCACTTGGACTCGCTCCAATCCCAATGATGCCCCTCCAAAGGCAAATCCCGAGTCGCCTTTTTGCCCTGCATGGACTGTAGAACAGCTGTGTTGATCTTCGGGCAGATTTCACATGGGAAATAAAGCGGTATATCCCAGAATCTGATTCTGGTTCTGGTTCTAGTATCTGGTTCAAAGCTGGGACGGTGCCATGGGATACCAGTACCAGGTACTATGCAAGTAGCATGAGATAGAGGATAGCAATGGGCCCCCGCAATGCAGGACATTGGGCACCTTCGAACCCACACTCCCTGTATCGCAAAAGTTCCAGAGACATCATGTGGAACCCTGGAAAAAGAAAATGGCCCCTCTCGGCTAGTGCCAACGTGTACCGATAAACAGGCAATTCAGGTGTAGCTAGTTGGCCACGCCACCGCAATTCGTGGCTCCTTGGTAATTGTTCCAGAAACGGGCCACGGCTCTCTGGGCGACGGGCGAGCCACGGTAGCGTGTGGTGAGGAAGTAATTAAAGAGGGCGAACTCGTCTGGCGTGAGCACATAGCTATCTGGTTGGGCCTGGATGCGATTCCAGAGTTCGGTAATGGCTGCTTCCAGGACGGCGGCGGATTGGGCATTCACAGGACCATCTTCGCATTCTCGAGCGTGTTCTAGGGCCTGTCGAATCTCCGGCCAGCTTCTAGATAGAGGAAGGTTGGGCATATCGTTGAAGAGGGTGTTTAGGTATTCAGCTAGGGAGGGGGCGCTGTGTTTGGAAGTTGTTGAGGGAGGGGGTTTTTTTTTTTTTTTTCAAGATGGAGGTGTTTTTTAGGGGGGGGGGGGGGGGGGGAACTTGGAAAGAAATGGGAAGATGTGCGCCGTGAAGGGCTCGATCCAAGCGAAAAGCGTTTCAGGCCAAGTAGAATACGGAAGAGATGAGAGACTGTGCATAAGACCAAAACAAGAAAATCCGAATGTTTTTTTCTTTTCCGATTAAAATGGGAATCAGGTGTGGAGCAACGGGAGAGGGAGAGGGGAAAAACCGGGCCAGTCCCGAAATGCTATGTTCATAAGTGTGACATGCGATGGAAAGGTAAATGCAAGATTAGTTGGACCTATAGGCTGTGGGACATTCAGGAACCAGGTCGGACTTCACTCCGAAATTGAAGGTAACAGATAGAGAAGTATTCCGTCTATGGGTCTCCGTTGCAGAGGTAGAAAGTTGAAATGGGACCACACTCTGGCGAGACATCCTGGAAAGACACATAATCCATAAGGCCACAAGGATGTAGTTTGCATGGGCTCAGGATTGCGCCGCGCTCCCTTGGCGTAACGGTTTTTTCGGGCAATTTTAATGACATGCTCCGGCTAGGATCGAACTAAGCCGTCTTGGACCCAGATGAGACGGTGGAGCCGGTGGAAACGGTGGAAACTGTAATGAACGTTGGTGATGATTCGTCGATGAGTGATAGGGTTCAAGGGTCAGGGTCGCTTAAAGCCATGGACTATAAGGGACCAATTGGGGTTGGAGGAAAAGGGGGAAAGATATTAATGGCGCCAGAGCAATATCCGGTGCATCAGTTAAGTGGAACCCGTTCTGGTCCTTGCGGTTTGAGGCTCGGGGGGCTTTGGATTCCCCGAAGCATTCCAATCATTGGCGAGTTCGATATAAACACTGCGTTAGCGTCTTCCTTTTCTAGCCCGGTCTTCCCACTTACCCATTTATTCTATTTGAATTTATCCAATTGGTGAAATGGTCTCGGCCGGTGATCTCTCTTTCGGTCATTTTGGGAACGATGCTTGCCGACATGGGACATGGATATATACTGGTCTCCGAGACATCACACATGTCCTTTTGTCCTTTCGGGAGCATTTCACTGATCTCAGGGGTTCGTCCGAAACCAAAACGCCGTGGAAGATCAAAATTGTCGGGTATCCTTTCCGATGCAGTCCAGTCACATAATCACATTTTGATTCTGGATCAATCCCGAGGTCACAGTCGGTTCAACTCCTTTTTTAATATTTCTTCCTCTTTTTTTTTTTCTCTCTCTCGTTGTCTTTACCTCTTTCGACAAGAGGCAACGTGTCGACATCAAATGACGCATCAAATGACGCATCTGATGCGTTCTGGCAAGTCCACATGCCATTGTTTGGGGTGCAGTTGTGTGTTGTGTGAATTTAGCCCTTCAGTATGATCTCGTTTCCCCGAATATATCGAGCTTGACAGATATTGTGGGATACAATATCCCAAACAAGCCCTCAGAAGGGCATCGAGATTGGAAGGCGATTGACCAAAACATAGCCAATTTTTCCAGAATATTTCAACTCCGGCTCAGATATGCTCTTCTAGAGAGCACTTTGAGAGTGTTCTACCAGAGACCTCAGAGAGCCGGAGAGAGAAGTGCAAAGACAAAAAGCAGAATGGAAAAGCGGGATGTGCCTGGGATGTGCCTGGAACGCGGTCCGCACAAAGCCCAACTCTAAAAGGGAACCTTCGATTTCGCCCTTTTCAAGCATCTTCCCTTTAACACACTTCCTACATTGCTTCCTATCTACTCTCTAGGTCAGCTCTGCCAAACAACTCTACCACACAGTAGGTTCTGGAGCAGAAATGGTAATCCCATGAAGCCTGTGCGAGAAGGAGCAACAACGATGTCCGATAAAAAGTACTTACTATGGTAGAGGGACCAGGGCATATTCCCGGTCTTGGCCGTATAGTATCATGAGGTCACGGAGTTTTTTGAAATCTGCTACAGCTGCATCAGAGATTGAAGTCATCTCAAGGGTTAAACTTTGACCTTGTGCACTAATACCAAACACAATAGGACCCCAAGATCCACCCCTAATGATGAGAAGCGAGCTCGGAAGACATTCGAACTTCTTCGTGAAATGCAACAATTGTGCCAGACACTACGTCAAATGCAAGTTGGAAGTCGCTGCGAAGTTTCAAACCCGCATCTGCGAGGAAGACTCCCCAAATTGTGGAAACACATCGTCCGAACTAAAACAGCCTGCACAAGGCGGTACTCGGTGAAGATGTGGCACGGCTTCTGTTAGCTGTCATTTTTGGAATAGGGCCCAAGCAGCATCCTAATCACCAACCCGCCTGGGACGATGAACGAGATCTTATGGCTAGGAACCCTGAGCAATTCTCACCTGATCCTTTAGACAGCATTGGCAACGTGATTCTTCTGAGTCAGTGATGGTATACATTGCCCTACCGGCCTGACTATTCGTTTGCCCGTTTGAATCTCTTCCCGAACCGGTGTGTTAGCCTGGAACAACTTTCGTTGACGGAGAGAATGATACCGACATGGTACACAATGGAATTATTGATCAATTGGGCCAGTTGATTTCTTCGATAGTGCCATTCATCACATAGTTCAATACAGAAATATCATTTGTTCTATATTCAATAGCTCAAGTCTATCTTTGCTTTTAATTGTTGCTGCTTGAATCTGCCGATGAGCAACCGCCGGGCTCTTTATTACGTACTAGCCTCTAGATTCCTATATCAATTATAAGGCTTCACGTCTTTTGCTCATTCTGTTCCGTTTGTTTCGCCGTGCTCTTGCATTCTAAAGCTACTAATTACACCCATGAGTGCAGGTTCTATGCCTGAAAACCATGTATATATTGTGAATTTATATATAGTGTACAATGCCAAAGCCGAGATTCTTTTAGAATGTTCGTAGTATTTGAGCAAGTTCACATTCCTATCCTGAAAAACAAGAGTTATACAGTGTACTCAGTCTCCTGGTCTTGCTTTTTATACAACGATAACTACAGCTGTAATGTCCGGATGCAGGTGTCTCTACACGACATCAGCATGAAATCTCAAGCTCGATTGATTTGACCAGAAACCAGCATTAGGGATTTCGCAAGTTGATTTTCCGGCCTCGCCTGGCCAAATCGACCTCTGGCTTCGAGATCTATACCGCTGACTAAGCCACAAGATAGTCTCGAGATAAAGATTCCCCCACCAGCGCCATTTCAACTTTTGACCTGCGCCGATCATTGTTCGAACCCAATTTGCCTGAAGATTCTTTGAAAGCAAAGAAGAAGGATCGGATACTGACATTATGGTTTTCTATTTCACATCGACTGTCGTGGAACCTTCCGCCTTTATTTATGTCGGCAAGGACAAATTCGAGAGTATGCCTGTGACTTGGTCAATCTAGGGGATAAACTTGTTAACAATGGTGTTAGACGAGGATCTCATAAAATATGGATTGGACAATGATGTCTGGTATGTTCCCCGGTATACCTTTGCAGAATTTTGGGACTGATATTCTTGCGCAACAGGGTCAGTCTTTCCCGCTCCGGCTTGCGATAGCGCCAATTGCCCTAATACCTCTATACACTTGCAGTTCCACGTCGACAATTTGTCAAGTGCACACGTCTATGTGCGCCTTCGAGAAGGCGAAACATGGGACAACATCGCCCAGCCGCTTCTAGAGGATTGCGCCCAACTCACGAAGGCGAACTCCATTGAAGGTCAGTCCTCGACATGAACCCAAGGATTTCATCCTGGTGGAGACTGACTTCTGGAAAGGAAACAAGAAAGACAACATCACCATAATCTACACACCATGGTCAAACCTGAAGAAAGACGGGTCAATGGCGGCCGGTCAAGTCACATTCCATAATCACAAGCTGGTCCGCAAGGTCTATGTGAAGCAGCGTGAAAACCCAATTGTCAACCGGCTGAACAAGACCCGAGTCGAGAAATACCCCGATCTCCGAGCCGAGAAGGAAGAGGACACGAAGAAGAAGCAGCGCGGTGACCGTAAGACCCGAGATGAACAACGTGCGAAGGAAAAGAAGAAGCAGCAAGAGTATGAACAGCTGAAGTGGCAGAAAGACCATGCATATGACGATATGTTCACAGAAGAGAATCTGGAGGCCAGCAACAACCAGGACCGTGATGAGAATTTCCTCGACGATTTCATGTGATGAGCACTGATATCTTTTCTAATGGAAGATAACCTTTTCCTGTGTGTTAACTTTGAACCGCCAGCGAAGTGAAAATTATACCCTCTACATACTACATAGCATATACCACGGAGGGACACCTGATATGAGTACGACAAAACAGTCCTGCTCTTCTCTCTCTTGATACCTCTTCTGACCTTTTTAGGTCATGTGTAATGAGATATAGTGAGATAGATAAAGGGCTTCACTAACCTCTCAAAGCCCTACGCCATGTCAGAAGAACCCTAGGATTCTTTTCCAATCGGCATACACCATAGGGGATTTCCTTTGGCATACTATGGGGGAATTATAGGCTTGTAGTGTATCATATACGTATGAATAAGTATAGAACGACAAAGGATTCAAACATGACAAGGTAGATACAGGCCAAATAAACACATCAAATTAGAAGCAAATATATATATATATATTATATATATATCAAAAAAATTAGCCTGTGGAATGGAGGTTGATAGATTAATCATCTGGGAATAGCCCTGGAGGGCGGAAAGGGCGCTAGCCCCGGCCGTGTTGACAGCTTGCCCCGTAACCGAATTCATCATCTTCCTCCCCCAAGGTCTTTTCAAACACCACACAGCATGAGCGAGGGAATTCCACCATCTGCTACCCCAAGTAAGGACATCCCCTTTGTGAATTGGAACCCACTGACCCCGCAAAGGCGCAAAGTCCAAGAAGAACAAGAAGAAGGCCGCAAAAGCCAAAGCCGACTCCAAGGCTGACGAGCATCCAGAGGATGCGCCCGCCGATCACAATGACACTGATGTATGTGATGAACTCCCACCCTGGTTGTTATTCACCTTTGCTGACGTCTCACAAGAACGAACCCCATGATGCCAACGAAGACCCCAGACCAGTGCCAGAATCCAATGGCGCCAAGCCCGACACAATAGATGGTAGTCTACCAGATCGGTCTGCCAATAACCAGGAGCCCGTAGCTACTGGAGATACCCCCTCAGGAAACGATATCCAGTCCAACCCCGCTTCCGATGGCACCGAGCCAAAGGACCGATTCGATGCACTTGTTCGAGATCGCGACTCGTTGCGCGCCGAAGTAGCTGACATGCGAAAATCATTGGAAGAGATTCAGTCCAAGCACACCGCTGACATGGAGGCCCTGCAACAGAAATTGGACGACGCGGAGAGCAGAAAGGAGCAGGCAGAAACGCAGTTCCAGGTGCTCCTGGAACGAGTTAACACCATCAAATCGCAACTAGGGGAGCGGCTCAAGGAGGATGCGGTGCGTGGACCAGAATTCACTACTTGGGATATTTGGCTAATCTTGCTTGCCCTTTAGGAGGAATTGTCTCTAGCACGATCACAAATCGAAGACCTCGAAGACGAGAACAACAACTTGAAGGATGAGCTCGATTCAAAGTCCACCCAGCTGATAGAACTATCGGGCGACTCAGTGGAGAAAGAGAAGGAGCTATCCACTCTTCGAGACCGGACAAACTTATCCCAACAGAATTGGTTGAAGGAGAAGGAGGAATTGCTCGAGCAAGAGTCATACCTCCAGTCGGAGTTTGAGCAAGCGAAGGAGGCTATGCATAATTGGGAAATTCTTGCCATGGAGGAGCGATCTATCCGGGAGAACCTGAACGAGAAGGTCGGGGATCTGGAGGAGCAGCTCAGCAGTTTGAGAGAGGGATATGAACGAGCCACCCATGAACGCGACACCCAACAGTCAACAGTTGATGGCCTCCAGCGGGCGTTGCAGGAAATCCAATTGGCGCGAAAGCAAGAGCTGCGGGAGCTTGTCGAGAGCTCTGATTCTCAACTCGAGGACCTTCGACGCTCTCTGCGGGAAGCACAGAAGCAGGCCACCGAGGCCGATAAGGGTCTCCAAAATGCCCAGGAAGAGATTGAGCGAGTCCGGCCATTCGAGAAAGAGGTCAAAGAGAAGAACCTTCTTATTGGAAAACTACGGCATGAAGCAGTTACGTTGAATGACCATCTAACGAAAGCCCTACGATTCCTCAAGAAAGGAAAGGCGGAGGATAATGTTGACAGGTATGTTCTTGTGACATCCACTCAATTCCATACTGACACCATACAGACATATTGTCACCAACCATTTTTTGCACTTCCTTGCTCTAGACCGATCTGATCCGAAGAAATTCCAAATACTGCAACTGATCGCTGCACTCCTAGGCTGGAACGATGGTGAGTGTTGCAAACCAAATACGAAGAATTCCTGGAGCCCATCTAATTATTAAAAATAGAGCAACGTGAACAGGCAGGTCTTGCCCGCCCGGGGACATCGAGTATGCCTGGGAAGCTCCGAGTCCCGGGCACTCCCCTCCGCACCCCGAGCACCCCAAACCTGGCAACGGAGTTCATGGATAATAGTGCCTCCAGTAAAGAGACGTTAGCCGAACTATGGTCTAATTTCCTTGAGCAAGAAGCGGAGGTGGGTAACATGAATCCATCGCGACGAGGAAGCCACCAGGGGCCTCTTAAATGATAGGGTGGGGAAATGTATAAAGCAGGAACGGCATAGAACTTGGGATATTGATACTTTGATACTTTGTTCTCTTTGATAATCGCATGTAACTAGTTATGTACTCCATATACGTCGTTACATTCATGGATACTCCGCACAAAGCCAGAAGTGCCAAGAGATATGGGTTTCTTCCGCCTTCCTAATAAATAAACAGGCTAAGCTGGATTTGGATGGAACAAAGCCGTCTTCAGCTAAATAATCAGTTTTGATTTCAATCCTTACATGCCTCTCTCATATTTCCGTGCCTTCTCAGCGTTCTATAGACCATTCGTCCGTTCTACTCACTCTGCATCTACAATGGCCTCCACTGGTAAGTAAGGCTGCTTCATGGCAGAACATAACCCCACCGTTCGACGTAGACATACTGACGTGACCACTTTTGTACTAAAGCCTACCGCCCTATTGTGATTTCAGGCCCATCGGGGACTGGAAAGTCGACTCTACTCAAGCGATTGTTCGCCGAGTATCCTGATACGTTTGGATTTTCTATCTCGGGTCAGTGCCCCAATAGCGACAAGAGGAGGGATGGAATGAATTCGCGCACAGCTTTGCTCACATGTGCCCTAAATAGAAACCACACGATCCCCGAGACCCGGCGAGCAAGATGGCCGTGAATATAACTTTGTCACAAAAGACGCATTCCTCGACCTAGTGGCCAAGAACGGGTTTATTGAACATGGTGGGTTACACTACTAGCTTTAAGATGAAAGATCGGACTTCAATTAACCGGCAGAGCAGCTCAATTCGGCGGGAATTACTATGGAACATCCATTCAGGCTGTCAGGAACATCGCTGAGAAGAAGCGTATCTGCATACTGGACATTGAGATGGAAGGAGTCAAGCAGGTGAAGCGGACGGATCTCAATGCGGTAAAGTGCCCTAGGCCATCCGACAATAGGACTTTACTAATGGTTTATAGCGTTTCTTGTTCCTTGCGCCGCCTTCTCTCGAGGTGCTGGAGCAGCGCCTCCGTGGCCGTGGCACCGAAACCGAAGAATCTCTCCAGAAAAGACTCAACCAAGCTCAGAACGAGCTTGAGTATGCAAAGCAGCCTGCGGCCCACGATAAGATCGTTGTTAATGATGATCTGGAGAAAGCATATGTTGAGTTGCGGGATTGGGTTGTTGACGGTGGTAAGTTCGGTGCGCAATAGTACGCACTACATTACATATGGGAAATGTGATTTAGGTCGATATCATGCCCAGCAAGGCGACCGCCCCGCTTGGTATCTTTCAATCCAAGAATAGAAGTTGCTCTCGTCAAGTTAATTAAGAAAACTAAGTACATGGAAAGCACCAGAGATGGCACGAGCACTGGAGTGCCAATTCTCTTTTTCCCCGGCAATACAAGCTCGATGGGTCTCCCAGGAAGACACAAGATGGGATGTAGGATACAAACGAAAACAAACGCAAAAAGGAAAAAAAAAGGAAAAATGGGATATCTGCAAGGGCCTGCTGGCGTCAAAAGAGGACAGTAAGTTTTCGGAGAGGGCCGTCGCGCAACGGTCACAGCGCTCGCATCAGACATGAAAGATCACCGAGTTTAGTATCCGTTCATGGCTGCGCGCTGCGAGTTGCGGCTCAGCTCCCGGTCCGCGGAGGGGCTGATGGGCCGGCTGCCACCGGTGTGGCCCCCGGCAGCGCTGCTTTCCTTCAGGGCTAGCAACTGCTTGGCACGGAAGGTCTCGTAGTGAATCTGGCTGGTAGTCTCGACCAGATCCTGAAGGTGGGTGCGGGTCAGGAAGTTGCGTAGGTAGACAAATTCACAGTGGTTCTCGTCCTCGACGTTGATGACACCCCAGCGGTTCTGGCGGCCGCGAACCTGCTTGCCGTTGACAACAATGGTCTTCTCACTGCCGACAATCGAGAAAGGAATGATGTCCTGTAACTAGAGGTTAATCTCGAGTTATGACAGCTCTGCCGGGGTCGAGCATACCTTGATCTGAGCGTTGATAGCACGCTCCTCATCATCGAGCTCGTCATTATCGTAAGGGTACATCTTCAGGTTGTGGAAGGAGAACTCCTCCTTGATGCGCTCCTTGAACGCCTGACGCTCTTCGAGCGTAAGAGAGTCGGACTTGGCAATAACGGGAACAACGTTGACGACATCGGACAGCTTCTTCAGAACAACGATATCGATAGGCTTCAGGCTATGCGGGGTCAAAGGGGTTAGTCTAAATGAGCTCCAAGGAAGCCAAGGAATGGGCGGGGCAAACTCACGCATGGCCGGAGGGCTGAATGAAGAACAAGCAGCAGTGAACACGAGTATCTTGGATGTAACGCTCACGCTGAGCGGTGAGTTCCTTGCGGAGGTATGCCGAGTGCTGATCCTTGATGTACTTGACAATGGGGTCCCAGCTGATCATGATTAGCCTAGACCCAGTAGCTCCAGCATGATGGGATTCAACTTACCATCGGTCGTTGTTGACCTGATCACCGTAACCAGGTGTGTCAACAATGTTCAAGCGGAGACGCACGCCGTTCTCCTCAATAACTAGTCGCTCGTCAGCCATTCCGCATCGAGCACAATTCCCCGATAATAAACGTACTGTGCGACTCTGTCTTGATCTCGGTGGTGGAGCGAACGGGCTCGGAGGGGGTCAAACGGCCCTTGGAGTCAATCAGGTGGGATGCGAAGATAGTGTTGATCAGAGTCGATTTTCCAAGACCAGTTTGGCCTATCGCGTAAGAAATTAGCCGTGGTCATTCTAGTGGGGGAGAGGTATCGCCCAGCACATACCGACACACATAACATTGAACTGGAAGCCACGCTTCAACAGCTTGCGCTCAATTTGTGAGGTAATGCTGTCAAAACCAACATGGCTATGAGGGAAAACAGTGGGCTGTTGAGCCGAAGCTGCGGTGGTGGCCATTATGAAGAGATTAAAGGTGAAAGGCAGAAATCAAAGCCCGCAATCCCAGAAAGACCCGAAGAGAAGAAGTACAAAAGTATGTAGTTTGAAGCAAGAGCACTTGGGACACCCCCCTTATTATCGTCCTCTTTCCCGAACTCAGGGGTGGGCTATCCCTAATCGGGACTAGCGTCTCTCCAGAAAACTACCCTTCACTTTTGCTTCACTTTGATCTCTGTGATAGCTCTCCCACCACATTACCACACTTAAAAAAAGAAAGCACATCCCCCATTCGAAACAATTCGTGCTTGAATCTATTTACAAATGGCATTGCGCCTTCTACCTTTCGCTCCGGCAACCATGTCGCGCTCACTTCTTTCCGAGTCCCTCCAATTCCCCCGACTCGCTCGGTTCCTCCCGATTACACCCATCGCGACCAGTGGGTTCCTACAACCGGTTTCGATCGCTCTCAATATCCCATCTCTTCTCTCAGATCTTTGGGATTCCGTCCTGCGCGCCGTTCCTAAGAAGAAGACCTCCCACATGAAGAAGCGTCATCGACAAATGGCCGGCAAGGCCCTCAAAGATGTGAAGAGCCTTAATAAATGCCCGGGCTGTGGTCAGATCAAGCGTGCCCATCTCCTGTGCCCCAACTGTGTCAAAGGTAGGATTTGAGCCCAAGCCGGAACATATTTGGTTATCGCAGAAAAGCTGACTAGTCAACAGACATCAAGGAATCGTGGAGGACCCTCGACATGGCATGAGAGAGCACTGTAAGGAATAAAGGTTTGCCTTGGGGGGAGGGAGAATCAGGATCAACATTCTCAGAACCCAATCTTCAAGCCCCCCAAAAAAAAGAGGTTGTATTTCTAGAATTGGTTGTGGATACATGCTGCATGGCAACTGGCGTCTGGGTTTTTGCGGGGGAAATGTTTCAATATGACTTTTATAACAATTCGATCTAGTAGGTCGAATTTAAATGCTGGATCTTTTCAATTGACTCTTTTTTTTTTACCATTTAAATCCGAAAGCCAAAGGGGATCCCATTCTAGGTGTTATAGTTACGCCGGTCCGGGTGGAAATAATCGGATATGTTCATGTTATTACGACTTGAGCGCTCTAGTTATATTTGTGAAAATTGTCCGCCTCTATTTATCTCACTAGCTTTGTAGTCATGTACATATATAGCCCAGACAGGAGCCCTAGAAGTACTAACTACATGGGTGGTTAATAGCAAGTACAGAGCGAGACTATCTCGAGTATCCCGACCTTGATTGGCTTACTAGCTTAATTATTTTACTTGACATCCAATAATATACAGATACCTAGGTCAGTAGAGTAGATATGAGACAGTATATATAACATTTGATAATGTCGGTGGTATATCATCGCACCTCTATCGTGAAGAAAAAAAAGGCGATGAAAGGCGGAACGGGCCTTCGGGCCCCAACGTCATTGCTCCTCCGCAAGTAAAGTCTCGACACAGCCGTGAAAGAGCACGGCATCGTCAACATGGTAAGATCATACTAAAAAATGATGAATCTCATTACTAATTGACAATTTTCAGTCGAAGCAATACCTCTCGAGAGGTTCTGCGGACAATGGTGAGCTTCCCGATGCGCATTATCCTGGATGACATCCATAATTTGGCTAATATTCTGTTTTGTAGCGCACCTTGTTGATATCTTCTCGCTGGCTATAACCGACAAGCAAATTCTATCTACCTCGGGTGCCTCCTCTATTAAAGTGCATTCCACCACGGATGCTGACTTTCCCCTGGTGCAGTCCATTGATGGTGCCCACACCATTGGTTGCCATCACATCGTGACCAATGGGAATGGCTCCCGTGCAATCACCGCTGGATTTGATGGCGAAATCAAGGTCTGGTCTTGTCAGGATGGCCATTGGGCTGCAGACACAAAACTGACTGGTGAGCATTGCCCCTCTTTGATAGCCCACAAGGTGCAATGAGGCTAACAAGAAGACAGCCGACCTCACAGGTGCCGATGCCTGGGCCATAGCTCTTTCTGAAGATGGCCAATATCTTGCTGGTGTCACGCAGGAGGGGCGCATCAATGTATGGGATTTGGCTGCCGATGGCACTCGGATTCGAGACCATGAGACCAAAGGTAACTTTGGCACTTGCATCGACTTGGTGAGATCTCAAATCCTGCAGTCAGGCAAGTGCGCCCTGCTAACTTTAGTGGTTAGTCTCCCGACGGTCGATTGATCGCTTCAGGTCATGACGATGGCGCCGTCTACATCTTCACTACTGAAACCGGCCGCATGCCATTCTCTCTGTTAGGTAAGTAAAGTTGGCTGGGCCGAGCAGAAACACAAGTGCTAATTCGGCCTAGGCTTGGTCAATCCCGTACGAGCTGTGGCTTTCTCGCCCAAAAGCAAGATTCTAGCAGCTGCTGGCGACTCCAAGGTTATTGTACTGTACGATACTTCCTCTGGCGAACAAATCGCCAATCTCTCAGGGCACTCTGCCTGGATCTTGTCTCTTTCCTGGAGCGACACAGGCGAGTACCTTCTAAGCAGGTCAGTTAATATTCCATGCATTCATATGATGACAAGCTGACATTTCCAAGTTCGTTTGACGGCAAGGTCAAGGTTTGGTCCATGGAGACAAAGACCTGTGTTGCTACCCACTCAGAAACAGACAAAGCCGTTTGGAACGCAAAGTGGCTTCCCAAGGTCGGCAAGACAGAAGGGTTTGCCACCGCTGGCGCAAACCGCAGCATTGCATTCTACCGCGAGGCTACTGGGTAGAAGGAGTAGTTGAAAATGGGGTATTGCAGAAATGTCCTTACAACTGCGTGACGATTTCAATGGAACCTAGGAAACTTTTCGAACTATGCATAAAAATCATGAATTCGTATCGGAACAATAACAATAACCCAAATGGCCTTGTACTTGTCCTTAGTTCATCGCTTCAACAAACAACTTGCGCATCCGTTTCAAGAACGCCCCGAAGTCTCGGTCATCGTTGACGAGATCTACCACATGCTCCAAACCATCCCGGTCAACCTTGGGGCGCGTATGGAAAACTTCGTAGTCGCGACTGGCGGTTCCCAATTCAAACCAGGCCTCTGCCTCCCAGTCCTTCTCCAATAGATGGCTGTAGACAAACTTTAACCGGTCCTCACGACCGGCGCCTTCAATTCGAATACAAAGGTAATCCTGCCAAAACTCTAACTCTGGGAAATTGAGACGAGATTGCGCATCTAAATGCTGTGCGTGAGACTTTTGTGCCTCGACTTTTTGACTGATAGCCTTCTGAGTCTCGGCGATTTGCT